TCCTGGGCTCAAGCGAGTCTCCTGCCTCAGCCTCCCAAGTAGCTGGGACTACAGGGGCCCGCCACAACGCCTGGCCATTTTTTGGTTGCAGCCATCGTTGTTTGGTGGGCCTGGGCTGGGGATTCGAACCCGCCACCTTAGCTGTATGCGGCTGGCGCCTTAGCCGCTTGAGCCACAGGCGCCGAGCCCAACCTCAAACTCTTGCATTCAAGTAACCCTCTTGCCTCAGCCTCCCAAGAAGTTGGGACTACAGGCCCGAGCCACAACACCCAGCTATTTTTAGGGACAGCATCTTGCTCTTGCTCTGACTGGTCTCTTAACTCCTGAGCTCAGGCAAACAACATGACTCGGCCTCCCAGAGTACTAAGATTACAGGTGTGAGCCACCACTTGTGGCCCTAACGTATTACATTTACATTAAACATAGCATAGTTTAACCTCACACTTCTAATGGTATTTCACTCTCCACTCTAATCACTTACAAAAATACAACTTGTTTTGCTTTGTAAGTGATTACAGGATTTGGGCCTGTTATTTCATCAGAGGATAGTTCTACAGTATTTTCCAGTAAACCATTGAGAAAGGCACTTTTGAAGATTAGCCAGATGAAAGTCCTATTTAAAATTCCAGATAGCATATATGAAGGATTAAAGCACCTACTGTTTTGCCTCAGAGTAAGACTTCAACAGTCCTCTACAATAGTTTCCACTTTTTATCCCTCTAGTAAAAAATTTTTTTAAAAGTAGACACTGAAAACAAGGATTCAAAAAAAGCATTCAAAACAAACATTAGCTGCAAAAAACCGCAGAAATTAATGACATAAGGAAAAAGTCACATACCCATAAAACAATTATCTGAAGCTTCCTGCCACGCTTTCCCGTTAATGCTGACATTTTCTTGCACAGCTGATTCAAAAGTCTGCAATAAAGTCACAGTACTCAAGTCACTAAAAATAATTTTAAACTAAATTCAAACATTTTGGCAAAACAACAATGTCAAATTTGTTGCAGAAGATAAAAGTAGCAGACTAACTTGTTATTATATTTATTCTTTTTTTTTTCTTTTGAGACAGAGTCTCATGTTGCCCTTGGTAGAGTGCTGCAGTGTCATAGCTCACAGCAACTCAACCTCTTGGGCTTAAGCGATTCTCTTGCCTCAGCCTCCCAAGTAGCTGGAACATAATGGCCAGCTATTTTTTGTTGTTGTTGAAGTTGTCATTGTTTAGGAGGCCTTGGCTGGGCTCGAACCTGCCAGCCTCAGTGTATGTGACTGGTGCCATAACCATGTGCTATGGGCACTGAACCTTCTTTTTTTTTGAGACAGAGTCCCATTTTGTCACCTTCAGTAGAGTGCTGTAGCATCATACCTCACAGCAACCTTAAACTCTTAGGCCCAAGTGATCCTCTTGCCTCAGAGTAACTGGGACTACAGGCATCACCACAATGCCTGGCTATTTTCTTGTAGAAACAGTGGGTCTCACTCTTGCTCAGGCTGGTCTCAAACACCTGAGCTCAGGCAATCCACTTGCTTCAGTCTCCCAGAGTATTATGATACATATATGCACATACACACACACACTTTTTTTGGTATATATATTTAATATATATATTTTCCCCACAAAACAGTTCTCTGTCACCAGGGCTAGAGTGTAGTTGAGTTGTCTTAGCTTACAATAAGTTCAAATTCCTGGGCTCAAGCAATCCTTCTGCCTCAGCCTCCCTAGAGGCTGGGACTACAGGAGGGTGCCATCATGCTCAGCTAACTTTTTTTTTTTTCTGGAGACAGTGTTATGTTTATGCTCTTACTCAGGCTGTTCAGAAACTCCTAACTTCAAGCAATTCTCCCACCTCAGCTTCCCAAAATGTTAAGATCACGGCAGTGAGCCATGGCACCAGTTGTATTTACTCTTTTCAATGATTCCTATTTCATTGATTCTACCTACATTTCAGTTCTCATAGCCATTACACTACTCATGAGAAAATCTATATAATAGATGCAAAATTTTAGAATATTTTTATAAACCAAAAAAAAAAAGTACTTCTTCAATGAATGAAAAAATAAAATCCAACGAATTTAGGGTTAGTTGAATTTCAGGGGTATAAGTACTGTACACGATGCTGAATTTTTTTTTTTTTTTTTTGAGACAGAGCCTCAAGCTGTCCCCCTGGGTAGAGTGCCATGGCTTCACTGCTCACAGTAACCTCCAACTCCTGGGCTCAAGCGAGTCTCCTGCCTCAGCCTCCCAAGTAGCTGGGACCACAGGCGCCCGCCACAACGCCCGGCTATTTTTTGGTTGCAGCCATCATTGTTGTTTGGCGGGCCCGGGCTGGATTCGAACCCACCACCTTAGGTGTATGTGGCTGGCGCCTTAGCCGCTTGAGCCACAGGCACTGAGCCCACGATGCTGAATGTTAACAAGAAGGAAAATATACATGTTTAAAAGAAAGTAAAACTAAGTTCCATTTTGTATAAGATTATATTTTTGAGAGATGTACAATGATGTAGGGATGAAATGACATGAGATCTGAGATTTGCTTTAAAATAGTAAGTATTACAAAATTTTGACAACTGTTGAATTTAATGATGATATACTACACGTGTCTACTATAATTATTTTTTGTAAGATTGGAAATGTTTGTAATATATTTTAAAAATTAAGGATTAAGGCTCAGTGCCCGTAGCTCAGTGAGTAGGGCACCAGCCACATACACCGAGGCTGGCGGGCCTGCTACACAACCACGACAACTCCAACCAAAAAATAGCCAGGCATTGTGGAAGGCACCTGTAGTCCCAGCTACATGGGAGGCTAAGGCAAGAGAATCAGCTTAAGCCCAAAGAATTTGAGGTTGCTGTGAGCTGGGACGCCATGGCACTCTCCCAAGGGCGACATAGTGAGACTCTATCTCAAAAAAGAAAGAAAAATTAAGGATTAAAAAAGTTTGGCAGTGGCTTGGCGCCTATAACTCAAGTGGCTAAGGCACCAGCCACTTACACCAGAACTGGCGGGTTCAAATCCAGTCCAGGCAGGCCAAACAATGACAACTACAAACAAAAAATAGCTTGGCTTTGTGGCGGGCATCTGTAGTCCCAGCTATTCAGGAGGCTGAGGGAAGAGAATCGCTTAAGCCCAGGACTTGGAGGTTGCTATGAGCTGTGATGCCACAGCACTCAACCCAGGGCGATAGCCTGAGGCTCTGTCTCAAAAAATAAAAATTGGCAGTACTATTAAATTTTTATTTTTTCATTTTATTGTTTTTTTGTTGTAGTTGTCATTGTTATTTCACATGCCCAGGCCAGGTCCAAACCCACCCCCTCACCCCCATGTATGTAGCTGGTGCCCTTACCACTGAGCTACGGGCACTGAGCCAGTACCATTAAATTTTTAAATATACAGCCCTTACTACCGAACAATTTAACATCTATAATAGCAATGTATCCTAAAGGACAATTCTCATAAAAACATAAAGAGAACATACTAGGAATGTTCATTTCAACACTGTTTGAAATAATCAACATCCTAAATTCAAAATTAGGAGAAACATTAAATAAACAATATGCTCATTCCACTTATTACTTAAAAAGAATAAAGATTATCTCTACATAACACTGACACGTAATAGGCAAAGATATATGAAGAGAAAAAGGAAAGAAGGTAATCAAGAGATGGGGAAGAAGAATTCACAGAAGATTTATGCTTTATACTCTTGTTTGAATTTTTTACAATGAGCATGTATTTTGTAACATTTGTATAATTTAAAATAAGCATAAGCCAAATATGACAGATAAGTACATAATCTATACTTTAAAGATTTTATAAAGTGAATTATTTACCTAATGTATGGACTTTCAAGGATTATCTGAGAACACAAATTGTCTTTGTAATATTCATTGCAGAGTCATACCAATACTATTTTTAAAGAATATATGTCACTATTACCATGCAGTTTTAAAGAGATACATCCACATAAAGCATCTGCCTTATTTAAAATACATGAGTGAATTTCCTGGGTAGTTTAAATCCTCAAACCTTTACCTTTTCATTTACTTTATTGTCCTATCAAATAGGATATAGTAGGTTAAGCCAAACTCCTTTTTTCTGTAAGGTAACTAAATGTTTAAGTACCTTAGCATTCTGTACAATGAGACAAATTCTAAGATCAGTATAGCAACAAAAGTCTCCCAAAAAACACCTGAAACTTTCCTGAGATATGCCTCTATTCTTGCCTTGCTTGCAAGGAGGAAATGACATAAAGCTACTGTAAACAAGGCGGTGCCTGTGGCTCAGGGAGTAGGGCGCCAGCCCCATATGCCAGAGGTGGCAGGT